ACTCGGACCTGTAATTGTTATTGACCTGTGACTCGGACCTGTAATTGTTATTGACCTGTGACTCGGACCTGTAATTGTTATTGACCTGTGACTCGGACCTGTAATTGTTATTGACCTGTGACTCGTGACCTGTGTGTGTGGTCGCCTTGCAATAAGTGGACCCGGGTTCGATCCCAGGGCAGGGTGATGCTATAGGCAAGTTTCTTTACGCCATTTGCGTCTGTCTACCCAGCAGTAATTGGGAACCTGGATGTTAATCGATTTACGGATCGTGTTCTCCGGGGTAATGGTTGGTCAGTGCTATTGGTGAGTTGTCCGGTCTTCCTGGATTATTCCTTGACATTGGGTCACACAATTCGTTAACAGAGGATGTGGTTGTTGTGTTGGCGACAGCTTCTACACCTTAAACTAATTCACGCCTAGGTGGCCCTAGGGATGGCCATCCTCGTTACACGCGGGGCCACCATTATTATTGTGTGTGTGTGTGTGTGTGCGCGCGCGCAAGGGACGTGTTTCCATGTATGTCTGACTCATCGAGACTAGATCACCCCGACTGGACTCACTTGGTATCAAACCCCCCGAGTACGAGGTCAACCCTTTTGAGGACGAGGAGTTAATACACAAAGTAATAGTCGTAACCACTTGAGTACTGAAGGGGTTAAGGTATTCAGTGGGTTAAGACATCATACTCAAGGGGTTAAGTCATCATACTCAAGAGGTTAAGTCATCATACTCAAGGGGTTAAGTCATCATACTCAAGGGGTTAAGTCATCATACTCAAGGGGTTAAGACATCATACTCAAGAGGTTAAGTCATCATACTCAAGGGGTTAAGTCATATCAAGAGTTACTATCAAGACTAATCATCCATGTAACTCGCCTCCACTAAGGGTTATAGACCACAGGACAAACTCATTACCTCATACAACATCAGAAGCTATGATATAAAACCAATTAAGTGAGAAGGTCATCAAAATTCTTCGTCAAACTCATGTTATTGTTGTGTGGGGCGGCTGGTTGGCTGGCTGCTTGACATCACATCCGACAATATAACCCCAAATTAAGCCTCCCCCCCTTAACTGTAGCAAGAATGCAACACACACATACACACCGAGGTCGGGGGGGGGGTAAGTGGGTGATATTGTGGTTGAGGGGGTGGGGGGGGAGAAGAGGGGCGCTGTTGGGGATATTAGTTTGTGGTGGGGGTGGAGGGGTAATATTTCCTCACTTCACTCCACACTTCCTCTCTACACTTCCTCCTCCTCCACCACACAGCTTCTTGCCACGTCTCTTTATCTCAACAATATTTCCATTAGTCAATATATCAGTAAAACTCAACAACACATCACACTTATCTGACTCCTTTATAAGTTCCCTATAGTCTAACCTCCCCATCATCCACCCCCATCATCCACCCCCCCATCATCCACCCCCCATCATCACCCCCATCATCCACCCCCATCTTCACTCCTCGACTATAACCCCGTCTTCCCCCTTCATCCTTCTATCAACCCTACAACCAGTGTGTCAGTGTACAGTGTCACTATCAAGGTGTACAGTGTCACTATCAGGGTGTACAGTGTCACTATTAATAAGTGTACCGGGAAGATGATAAATAATATAACCTAGGTAACTTTGAAGTATTAAAATGTTGCATTAGTTTTAACTTTTTAACGTGAGAACTGCGGGAGAAACTGTATAGTGTGTGTGTGTGGCAAGACTGGTGGTGGTGATGGTAGTAGTGGTGGTGATGGTGATGGTGCTAGTGGTGGTAGTGATTGTAGTGGTGGTGATGGTGGTTGTAGTGGTGGTGATGGTGCTAGTTATGGTGGTTGTAGTGGTGGTGATGGTGCTAGTTATGATGGTGATAGTGGTTATGGTAGCTGTAGTAGTAGTGTCTTTTTTAGCGCCATGATAATGTTAAACTTCATTAGAGAATACTGCAGGTCGGCCGCCGCGCCACAATATCCCAGGGTAAGGAATTAATGGTCTACAACACCAATATCTGCCTGAACGTCTTTCTGGTGGCAGACGCGAAGCCCGGGTCGGTGTGTGGGGGTGGGGGGGGGGTGACTGTGTAGATAATTATTTTGTTTAAAATTTGGCCACGGAAAGCAGCTAGTTTATTGTACGCCCCATACTCATGCTGTGAGCGGTAGTTCAGAGTAGAGGTCACAAAGGGAGTTTACAAGACCCCAGTGGTCAGGATATTGTGGTACAGAATGTTAGAGTATTTCCAGTACATTATTTGTTTAGTTCTGTACACAGGAGTTAACTTATTCACCTCTATGTGAGTGGCAGACTGCAGTGTGAGGCAGTATGTCTGGCCTCACACTTTGTTATTCACATCTGTATGAGAGTCAGGCAAGCACTCTGGGCGTTTAGTTCTGTACATAGGAGTTGACTTTGCTACTTGGTGCCAAAAGTGGATAGTCTTAATATATCAGCCTTGTTGACATTACATGTAAAGTTTGTGCCATTGCTCACACAGTTAACTTGGACCTGTCCCTAAAAGGTTCTATTTTTCTTACAGTCTAAGACGTAGTGTTGGAGTGTGTGGCCATATGTCTGGCCACACACTTTATATATATATATATATATATATATATATATATATATATATATATATATATATATATATATATATATATATATATATATATATATATCACTTGATACATCTCATCATGGTAAACAATGGATTGCCTGTTTGCACTTGTCTACTTGCTTGAAATTTATCAGCAAGTTCTTTCCTGATTACAGTTTTAAGGGTTCTGTTTGACAGACCCAGATTGTATTCAACTGTGTCTCTGTTGCACGCGAGTTCAGCTGAGACATCACCTCTGCCATATTCTCTGAGGCCTATGTGAGAGGGGTCCACAGCAACTTGATCTTGGCAACAAGGCACGTGTACTGTATGTGTGTCTGGCTTCAGAAACAAGCTGGTGACAGTCTGAGTTGAGGGTATCAAGGGCATGTAGTGAGGGGGTCAGTGATGATGAGACTGTCAGTGGCAGTGTCTTGAACAAGTTTCAGGAGTGAGTCTGGCAACTAATTCACTTTGTAGAGTGGATGCCCAGTTATTGGGTCCAGGTGTGTGTGTGTGTGTGTGTGTGTGTGTGTGTGTGTGTGTGTGTGTGTGTGTGTGTGTGGCCATCAAGTCAACCTGACACTTCCATTACGACACAGAGAAAACTGTAGCCGGCCGCCCCTGGTGCTGGACCGTATATCCCAGCAGTACATCTTCACCAGCGCTGCCGTCACTACTCGCCCGGGTCAGGCTTTACCCTTCAAGTATTTACTAATATTTTATACAGTGGAATAAATAGCTATACACGTATGTACTAATGTATAATGCAAATAGACATACAATTACATACATATATAACTAACTGTTGTTATTATAGTACATTTCAACGCACCAATTTGCGATATATTTATAATTTGTTTGTCAATATATATGGGTATAAATCCTCGACCCGGTGTGATGAAATAATATTTGTAATGACAGTTGCCACCTGCCAGTTAAATGACTGTTGAAACATTAATACAGATCAATACTGGGCATATACTGAGTGTTGCTACCAGAGAGACAGGTCCCGGAACACACACACACACTCCCGCATTTTGTGTGTGTGTAAAGGGACTTGTGACTGTACATGTAGGGGCAGGTTGTCAGGGGTCGCCACACAAACTGCCTTAACAAACACACTTGCTATATTGAGTCTCCCTCCCTCTCTACCTACCTGGTATTGATAGCCCCTCCAGACTTACCTGTTGGAGAGAGAGAGAGAGAGAGAGAGAGAGAGAGAGAGAGAGAGAGACCCTTTCATCCCAAAGACCTTTATGCCTCACCAACCAATAACTTGTATATCACATGAGGAGTATTTTAGTTTAATATTACTCGAAATACTCCAATATTATCATGTGTATTGACTCTATCTGGTAGTACTTGCTGAATAGTTGTATTGTGTGTGTGTGTGTGTGTGTGTGTGTGTGTGTTTCGTTATACACACACAATCACACAAGACACATTACCATATGAGCTGCATCAGTCAGCTCTATGAACGATTTTCCTGATTGGCTACTACTTGTGAAAGAACCACCCCCCCCCTCCACAACGGCCCTGATCTGCCCCTAATTAGCAGTCGTGCACCCCCTGGTTCCTTCACGCCCCGCCCCCGGCCCCATTAACTCCCAGGTCACCACACTGCACCCCCGGGTCGCTCACGTCAAGCACTGGCCAGGACGTAAATGGGGGGAATATTTTTGGGTCATCATTGTTTTGTTGGTTAGGTTAGGTTAGGTTAGGTTAGGTTAGGTTAAGTAAGTTAGATTGTATTGTTAGTAAGTTAGTTGGTGTTAGAGGTAAGTTAGGTTTAAGAAGACTTTGTATGGGACAGGGTTAAGTTAGGTTAGGTTAGTTTAAGTTATGGGTAAGTTAGGTTAGGTTAGGTTCCGGGCCAAGGTGTAATACAGAACATTTTCTATCTTCACTAACTCACAATGGTCACGAAGTTGTATTGACCTGACCTCGTTTCTCAATGGATCCGGGTTACGTCATTACCCCCCCCACGAGTCCTTCAGGGGATTGACCAGTTTTATAATCCACCAAGAAGCTCGTAACGATAATTTTCCCCTTAACTGGTGATGTGAGGACGCCCATAACCCGCTCACTTAACTTGTTGAGTACCATGTTATCGTACTCAAGTTATTGTACTCAAGGTATTAGATCATTGTACTCAAGGAAATTAGTCATCGTATGGAAGGGATTAAGTAATTGTATTCTAGAAATTAAGTCATTGTACTCAAGGGACTCGGTCGTAGTACTCAAATAATTAAGTCATAGCACTCAACATTGTCTTTCAACTTAGTATACTTAGGTAACTTAGAGGTAATTAACAGATTACACAGGTAAATTAAACACCTTTCTACTAACTATAACTCGTATAATTGTGTCAATATTGTAATGCTATTTTAACAATATCTTTCTAGGTCAACTCTTCACCACAAATGACCTCCTTATTGGCCACTGCTCCTGACGTCATGTCGAAATAAAGTTCCTGATTGGCCAATATTTTTCGAGCATTATTTCCGTGTGAGGGAAAGATCGTGCGGTGACGTCAGAGGGGTAAAGTATATATATAGTTTTATTGTCTTGTGGTTACTAGTTTTTTTAAGAGTTTGGAGAGAGAGGAGAAGGGTTTGTATCTCTCTCTCTCTCTCTCTCTCTCTCTCTCTCTGTCTCCCTCCCTCCTTTTAGAGATATTCGTATAGACTGAGCAGCTTACCCCTGAGAGAATGGGATGAAAGCAAAGATAGCAGTCAACTTCTCCTTCAATTGCATTCTCTAGTTACCTATAAACATGATCTGGCAGTCTGGTCTTCAAAGCTCCCTCAGTGCAAGAGCTATTTTTTGTTTTCTTCTTTTATTGATCAGTTCCAGAGTTTTAAGGGTAATTTTATAACTCAGTCTTACCATAATTTAAAGGGATAATTTCATAACTCAGTCTTACCATAATTTAAAGGATAATTTTATAACTCAGTCTTACCATAATTTAAAGGATAATTTTATAACTCAGTCTTACCATAATTTAAGGGATAATTTCATAACTCAGTCTTACCATAATTTAAAGGGATAATTTCATAACTCAGTCTTGACAAAATTTAAGGAACCAGGATTTTTTTTCCTTAGGTGAGTGACATACAAAAAATTCAATCCTTTTTCTAACAACGAGCTAATTTACTTTTTCCTTTCTTTTTGAATAATCACTGGAGCTTTTGAAGTGTGGCGTGGGGTGAGTGTCTCTTGAGCTGTGAGAGATGTGTGGAGTGGAGGAGGAGATCCCGAGAGGGGTCGTACTTGAACTAGGAGGAGGAGGAGGTCTTATTGTATGTGAGAGAGAGAGAGAGAGAGAGAGAGAGAGAGAGAGAGAGAGAGAGAGAGAGAGAGAGAGAGAGAGAGAGAGAGAGAGACCGCCTCACATCACCACCTGGCGCTTACCTGGATGAAGGTAACTCTAATAGGTGTCAGGCAGTTGTTGTTTCACCTTAATTAAATACCTGAGAGAACGTGTGTACCTGTGTGTGTATGCATGCATGTGTGCCTTTGGGTGTGTATGTACCCGTGTGTGTGTGTGCAGCTCTATACATAAATATAACACTAACAATAAAAGAACATTACCAGAAATTTATGTCTTCAAAACCTCTTTAACTTTCTACCTCAACAACCAGCTCTTGTAATAATTATGTCTCGCTCCGGGAAATAAATCCAGCGTTGCGTCTTCTCTTATATTTATATAATGTGTTTTTTAACCCCTTTAAGAATAGTGGTTTAACCCTTTGATGGTGATGGTTTAACTCTGAGGCTTAAACCATTTTTATCATTATTATTATTAATTCACTTTACAACGGTCTCAATTGATTCTCTCCCCCCCGTTACCATGACAGCATCATTATTACCTTACTGTTATTACGTTACTGTTATTACCTTGGCGGGGCTAAATAGTTTATTTATTTATTTAATTGTTTTTATTTTTACTCTTTGACTGGATTACTGACTGATGGATAATTAAAAGTTGTTTATTTAAAATTTATTGAAATACAGTAATGAAGTTTATTTATTCATTGTCAATTCTCATACTTTTATTTTGTATATTTTGTTTAAAGTTTAGGCTATACAGATAGAGAGATGTGTAGATAATATTGTGTGTGTGTGTGTGTGTGTGTGTGTGTGTGTGTGTGTGTGTGTGTGTGTGTGTGTGTGTGTGTGTGTGTGTGTGTGTGTGTGTGTGTGTGTGTGTGTGTGTGTGTGTGTGTGTGTGTGTGTGTGTGTGTGTGTGTGTGTGTGTGTGTGTGTGTGTGTGTGTGTGTGTGTGTGTGTGTGTGTGTGTGTGTGTGTGTGTGTGTGTGTGTGTGTGTGTGTGTGTGTGTGTGTGTGTGTGTGTGTGTGTGTGTGTGTGTGTGTGTGTGTGTGTGTGTGTGTGTGTGTGTGTGTGTGTGTGTGTGTGTGTGTGTGTGTGTGTGTGTGTGTGTGTGTGTGTGTGTGTGTGTGTGTGTGTGTGTGTGTGTGTGTGTGTGTGTGTGTGTGTGTGTGTGTGTGTGGTGTGTGTGTGTGTGTGTGTGTGTGTGTGTGTGTGTGTGTGTGTGTGTGTGTGTGTGTGTGTGTGTGTGTGTGTGTGTGTGTGTGTGTGTGTGTGTGTGTGTGTGTGTGTGTGTGTGTGTGTGTGTGTGTGTGTGTGTGTGTGTTCATCTACTTCCCACACACAACAGACACACTTTAACACACTCACAACAACACACTTTAAAGAATTATAGGAACATTTTTAGTTACTGCCGTCTGTGAACTAATGTGATCTTATGTATGGTATTGATAAAATAGTATGGTGAACTGTCTCTCTGTGTCTGTCTGTCTGTCTCGCTGTTTCTCTGTCTGTTAGTCTGTCTGCCTCTGTTCATTCATTCGCCATTTTCAATTCTCTGTAAATCCTATTAAATAAATGCTGTAAAAATAAATGCCAGCGAGGAATTAGTCCATACGTGTGTGTTAGTAAATAAACGCCATCATGATTTAATGTGATGAAGTAAATATTAACATAATATTAATTTACCTTTTCACCCTTTTCATATTTTCGTTCTTATTAAAAAATATAATTAGTTTTTTTTTTTTTTTAGGAGTGAATAGATTATGGTCTCTCAGGAGTGTGTGTGTGTGTGTGTGTGTGTGTGTGTGTGTGTTTTGTGTGACATATTACTTGGCCCAGACACACTATATATGCGTTCTTTACACACACACACACACACACACACACACACACACACACACACACACAACGGCAGCTTAATTAATCTAGTTTATGAAAAAGGTACATGTAATATTCTTCACTAATATTATCTTTTAGCTAATGTTACTTAATATAAACTGACGGTAATATCTTCTTTCATGTTAGTTTAAGCCTTAATGTTATAGAGCCGAGTAGAAAGATAATATACTTAGTCCTTTTAGTGTATTTACTAAGTGGGGGTGTACCCGGTATAGCTCGGGGCTGTGTACTACTCTCTCTCTCTTAGATCATCGTCTTTAAAGGGTTAGATCATCGTATTTAAAGGGTTAGAGCATCGTCTTTAAAGGGTTAGATCATCGTCTTTAAAGGGTTAGATCATCGTCTTTAAAGGGTTAGATCATCGTCTTTAAAGGGTTGGATCATCGTCTTTAAAGGGTTAGATCATCGTCTTCAAAGGGTTAAATCATCTTCTCCAAAGGGTTAGATCATCGTCTTCAAAGGGTTAGATCATCGTCTTCAAAGGGTTAGATCATCGTCTTCAAAGGGTTAGATCATCGTCTTTAAAGGGTTAAATCATCGTCCTCAAAGGGTTAGATCATCGTCTTTAAAGGGTTAAATCATCGTCTTTAAAGGGTTAGATCATCGTCTTCAAAGGGTTAAATCATCGTCTTCAAAGGGTTAAATCATCGTCTTTAAAGGGTTAGATCATCGTCCTCAAAGGGTTAATACAATAGATGTGTTTATAACGAAAGGATTCCTATTTTTGAGGAGTGAAGGATCAACTCCCCCAAAAAAAAAAATTCTACCTTGGGGGACATTTCTGGGGTGTATGCGTGTTTCATTCCCTATTTCAACACTGTGTCCATGTATAGTGAACGCCTGCATAAACTAACACACAGATAATATCCCCATTGTTGTCATATTTATCGGTAATACTGAATTATTTACCAAAACCTTTGAGTATTTATCTAAGGTAACGAGAAATATTAAAAGGACAGGTGTACAGGTAAGCCAAGGGGTAAAACACACCTGTTAAGACCATCAGTTATATTATCACAATGAAAGGTGAATATCTCCTGTGTGTGTGGGTGTGTGTGTGTGGGTGTGTGGGTGGATGGACCTGAATCTATACGAACATGTGCTCTCTCTCTCACTGCTAGCAACCCAATCAGTCAATCAGTATTTTGGGTCAACACACACACACACACCTACCCCCCTTCCCCCACCTATACCTCCCCTTTATCTCTACACCCCATGTCTTGGTGAGTTCCTAATAGGTTTGGCTTTCGTCCCTAACACCAAGACAGTAATTGTTGAGGTTTATTTAGTCCTGTAACTCACTCACTCACTCACTCAAACACCGTCACTTACTCACTCTCACAGTCACTCACCTTCGTCTTGGGTGGGTTCATTCACGCCCCCCCCCCCCCTCTCGCACGGACACTGGGGTATAAGGTGGCCACTGTTATTTATACTCACTGATACCGAGAATGGTGGTGGTAGTGTTTGGCAATTGACAACTTTTTTTAGCGATTGAAATTTTAAACTTCACCAATGGAACTTTTAGAACAATGTATTGGACGATGATTTATGACTTGACAGAAATTAAAGAAAGTTTTAATATTTCGAAAGTTTAAAAAAAAAGTAGAAATTGAGAGAAAATAAATACAGATAGACAAAATGATGACGGGGACTAATAAGAGTGACTAACACACACACACAGGTAATCATTTAATTATTCAGATAAACCGAATCCAATACAAAGTCTCTGAAATCCTTCCTTGTTGCTAAAGCGCTTAAGGGATGATGGCTGTATTAATAATCCCAGCTTAAAATTAATAACATGAACCCCCCAAAACCCTCGAACCCGGACTCCCGAATCCTGACCTGAATTGCAAACTCTGGCACAATACCCGAACTTTGGAACGCGACCCGATTACAAAATTTGGTCTAGAATCGAACCTTTGAACTGGACAGAACCCAGAATCGAACTCAAGGTCTGGAACCGAACCCGAACCAGTACTTTTGAACTGAACCCGAAGTCCTAACGTGAAATTTGGAGTCGAATCTAGAACCGAATTCTAATAGCAAGGAAATTTGTGTTTGATTAGGAGTAATTCTGGTTAGGGTAGGTTAGACCATATTGGTTTTAGGTTATGTTAAATTATGTAAGGATTATGTTAATTTAAGTTAGATTACGTATTGTTTAAGTTATATTAGGTAAAAATATGTTAGGATTAGATTAGCTTAGGGTAAATTATATTAGTTTAAAATATATCATGTTAAATTTGGTTAGGTTAATTCTGTTAGGATTAGGCTAGGTTTGGTTAAACTATATTAATGTTAGGTTAGGTAGAATGTGTCGTGTTAATTTGGGTTAGATTAAAATGTTAGGTCAGGTCAGGTCAGGTTAGGTACGGGCCCAGGTGTGTGTGTGTGTGTGTGTGTGTGTGTGTGTGTGTGTGTGTGTGTGTGTGTGTGTGTGTGTGTGTGTGTGTGTGTGTGTGTGTGTGTGCGCGTGCATAAAACCCCACAGAAATGCTGTAAAAATTCACGTTTGGTTTAACTGGAAGACGGGAGTGTAGTGACCCCGGGGTGTAGTGGCGGTGACAGATGTCTTATACTGTGAGCTCAAGGGTGGAAATCCTCTTGCAGAAGTCGGCCACTGAGTGTCAGCCAGGCCGGGGGACACCTACCATCACGACCCTACTACCTGCTGCTGACCCCGCCTGACACCATCCCTTCAGGTTATACTAACTCCCTCCAGAAGGTACAAGTAAAATGTAAAATATATATATCCTTCGTCAGGTCGCCCAAAACTCGTCATATAACATTGAAAGTAAAGGTTTAATTTTCTTATTTTTTATGTAGATATGATAGAAAAAATATAAAACAAATCGTATAAATTTCTTTGTCATTAAATCATCTAATTGTCCGTGGTCAGAGACGGCAACTTTCAAACCTCACAAAAAACAAAATCAAAACTTACTTATCTGAGGAGTTAATTGTATTTTGTTTTTTCCAGGGCACTTGTCACTAAAAGGAGTATCTGTCCTTCCTCGCTATGGCAAAGACAAACGAGAACACGGAACACCCGATGACAAGAGGCAGTAGCGTGGTGGTGCTCGGCCTGCTGGGGGAGAGTGTGAGGCAGAGCTCTCACAAACACGTCCGTTCACCACCAACACGTCGCCCACACTGACAAAATCCTGGTCGTGTGCTCCTGCCTGCCTACGTACCTTCCTTGCCTACACTGTGTTGCCTCCCTCCTCCTTCTATCTTTTTCTTGCTCCCTTCCTCACCGCCCTAACTCCTACCTCGTTTACTCCCTCTTCCTCCCTTAGCCCCACCTCCTTCATCTTACTCCCTCCCTCACCCTTTTACCTTCCTTCACCTCCTTCTCCCCCCTCACGCCTTTCCTTACATTATCCACCTTCTTTATTCCCTCTTCTCTTCTTCTTCCTCTTACCTCCCTCATCTATCTCACTCACTTCCTCCCCCACCTCTCTCTCCCTCCCTCACCCTACCTCTTTACTCCATCCCTTATATTCTATATCTCCCCTCCCCCTCAGGTGTGATTCAACAGGTAAACTTAGGTAAGATGAGGCCTACTCACTCATACATATCAGATTGACAAAATTTTTACCTTCATCAGCGTTTCCTCAAATGTAAAGTAAAAAAAAAAAAGGTGTTTGTTTTTTACACTGTGGGGACTAATTTGCATACTGTGTTTGTTAATTAGTGATGTCCTTAATTACTACGAGTGTGTGTTTTGCTCCTTAGGTTACTGTACAGGTTAGTTATGGGTGTGTTGTGTGTTAATGGTAGCTGTCTCTTGTCTCCCTCTCATTATCTCTCTTTTTTATCTTTCTCTGAGGAGCAACAGAAGGATACTTTACCACACAAGAGCAGTGCCACTTCATCGACAGTGCCACCACCACCAACAGCGCCACCACCACCAACAGCGCCACCACCTCAACAGCGCCACCACCTCAACAGCGCCACCACCTCAACAGTGCCACCACCTCAACAGCGCCACCACCTCAACAGCGCCACCACCTCAACAGTGCCAACTTAACAATATTCTCCCAGAAATACAACTTGTGGGGGCTTGAGGTGGTCCATCTTGGCTCTTGTTCACTGTATTTAAATTTAATCTCACCAGTTTATAATGAAATTTGTTCCGAGTGTGTTGATAAATGTTGTTGTGTTTATATTATGTTGTGTGGGGAAGGTAACTTAGTTTATTTTGTGGATTTAACATATTTTAACATATATACATTATGTTAAGTTGGTAATGTTTTTGTATGTGTTAAGTAATATTTGTTAATTTACATATTTATAGATATTTTTTGTATATGTTATGATAATGTTTAAGTTAATTTAGTTATAGCATATACAAATTAGACTAAAATGGATTCTCAGACGCCAGTAATGTGTGTGTTATGTACTTGTTACCTTAGCTGCGTTAGTGCGGGGCTTGTCATACACCCTGCAACGTATTAAGAGATGCAGTGGAAGAAAAATAACTCCCTCGTGGAAAATTATTGCCGGAAAGTTAAAGTCAGGAAAGGTGGGCGAGTGTCTTAAAAAATTCCTCGTAAACTGCGGTAGTGAGGAGTGCTCGGTTGGTTACAGGTTTAGAGTAGGTACGTAAATAGGTTTGTCTCTGTGCGTCAGTCAGTCAGAAAATACAATCATAGAGTTAACTGATGCAGGTAGAGTTCTTAGGGAGGAGCAGACTCACCACCACACACACACACACACTCTCTCTCTCTCTCATGGTAATTTCACAAGCTAGGCCTAACATTCCATATTTATATAAACATAACATATCTGCCCTAGCTGACTAACCACCTCCACCACCTAATTGACCTCGTAATACGTGCACAATCTGTCATGACCCCCTCCCCCCGTCTGACCTTGTGTCACGTTCGGCTTGACAGTCTCTGACAGCAAAAAAGTAACACACATGTCAGAGGCTAATGGACAGTTTAACATTTTAGCTGTGGGTGTGTGTGTGTGTGTGTTATATTGTAAAGGCTGTGTATCGTAAATCATATAATGACCCTGAAATCAATTCTACATTATTCATTAACTTTAAATGATTATCTATTGTATAAAACACTGTTGTGATAATTCATAGAAGAACAGTGAACACCGCCTTTGTGTCATAACAGGACCCCCGTCATTACGTCAGTGTTCGTGACGTCAGAGAGTCCAGTCGATGTGTTGTAACTCATCATAGAAACACACTTTAAACCTGGCAGTAAAGCATGTGGGAGTATATAAGGAAAACAAATTCATAAGTTAAACAAATTTTTAATTAATTAATTTGTTAGATGAGTATGCACGTTAATCGTTTGTTAGGAAAGACATGCCTGTGTGTGCTCAGAGACGGTTACGAAGAGGTGGTGGCTGGTAGTGTGAATGTTAGTGTGAATTTTTATTGACATCATTATTATTGCCTCGTAGTACTTACTTGTGTTAGGTTTGGGATAATTTTTATTTGATTTAATGGTTAGTTTTTATGTTTAATATAACTTGGGTTTGAATTTCTCTCTATTAATGACTTGACTTATATTTGAAGTATTGATTTTTCTTTTATCGTGAATTTTTATATTGTTTTCACTGTGACATACATAGAGATAGATAGATAGATACATATAGATACATATATATATATATATATATATATATATATATATATATATATATATATATATATATATATATATATATATATATATATATATATATATATATATATAGACAGACTTAACCTGAATATGAAACACGACCCCTTGAATATTTTATTTAATCCGCCAGCAGGTTGTGGTCTTGTTCCTTGATTGTTTTAGTGTGTTATAACCTTTGTGTTGTAGTTGGTTGTTAATTTATAGGTTTTATGTTTTATTGCCTATGATAATTAGTGAGGTTGTGTTGTTATTTTATTTCTTCAATGTTATTATGTTCTAGAGTATGTTGGTACCTTATTTTATTATTGGCAGTGGGATCAGGTTGTAGAGTCTGTTTTATTGTGTCTTAGTGATGCCCGTGTGTGTGGGGGAGGGTAATGATCCAACTAACATGGTGACCCTCTCTGGGGCAATGACCTGGCGGGGAGGGGGAAGACGACGATTGGTGGAAGGGATAATTAGAAGGGGAGGAAGAAAGGAGGGAGGTTTGAATGGCAGGGTGAAGGTTGGTGAGAGGGGAGAAGAGGATAAAGACAAATAAAGGGAGGAGAAGGGGTGATGGAAGGGAAGGAGAGGGCAAAGCGAGATAAGGAGTGGTGTGGGGAGGAGAGGGGTGATGGGAGGGGAGACTGAATGGTAAATTGAATGGTTTATGGGAAAAGTTGATGGTAGAGGGGAGGAAGAGAGGAAAAGGAGGGGTGAGGAGGGGAGGGAAGTCAAAAGGGAGGGAGGGAAGGGATAAATGGATATATAGAAGAGGAAGGGTGAGGGGATGGATGGAATGAGCGAGGGAGGGAGGGACTCGCTCTCGGATGAGTTACGCAGGTGATGAGCGACATAATTAATCTTTGGACAGGTGAGATCAAGAGAGAGAGAGACAGTCTGTGAGAGTGAATGAGAAAATGCCTAAAGGAGTGTGAAAGTGAGTAGACTAATAGTGTGAGTGAAGTGAGAAAATGAACAAGAAAGAGAAATTGTAGAGATGAGTGAAGTGACCTCCCTGACCTAGGTAGTAAGAGGTCAGTTGAGCTATTTATCTACGCCAACGTTTAGTGGTTGTCGAGTTCCCCGTTCCCCGTGGCTGTGTGATATGTTGTTTTGGGTCTCTCTGTCTGCCACCCTCCCACCATCCCACACTATTACCACCATCCCACAGTACCACACTATTACCACCATCCCACAGTACCACACTATTACCACCATCCCACAGTACCACACCATTACCACCATCCCACACTATTACCACCATCCCACAGTACCACACTATTACCACCATCCCACAGTACCACACTATTACCACCATCCCACAGTACCACACTATTACCACCATCCCACAGTACCACACTATTACCACCATCCCACAGTACCACACCATTACCACCCTCCCACAGTGCCACACTACTGCCACCCTCCCACAGTGCCACACTACTGCCACCCTCCCACAATGCCACACACACTATTGTTATCCCTAATTTATTGACCCCAGACACTGTTATGTAACTGCAATGACCCTGACCTTAAGGGTGATGGTGGGGCTGTGATGGACTTTGGGTTAATTGAGTTTAGGGCTTGAGGGTCAATAGGGGGCCACCATTACTGAATACGGTGGTCTAGTCCGCCCTAACTGTGTGTGTGTATCTATACACCTAGTTATATATCTGTCTGTCTATCTATGTCTCTATATAATAACATATCTATCTATCCCAGTAACTATCTAACTAAATAACCGTAAAACTATTCAGTAGTATAGCTAGAGGGAAGGGAGGGGGGTTTAGACCCTCAAGGCAAGTGGACTGATGGTGGAACTCGTTGACACAACTGAGCCAGTTTACCATCATTTGGACACAACAGGGTCAGTCTGGACACATTTTAGTCAGTCTACCATCATTATTTGGACGCAGTAGGGTCTCTACCACAGTCTGGACACAACTTAGTCAGTCTACCATCATTATTTGGACGCAGTAGGGTCTCTACCACAGTCTGAACACAATTGAGTCAGTTTACCATCATTTGGACACAACTGAGTCAGTCTACCACAGCCTGGACACACCACCGTCAGGATATTGTTAGGCGTCGTGGTAGTTAAGGGCGGGCAGGTAACAAGCACCTGTTTGTTCATGTATGAATATCTGGCTGGCCTCACCTGAGCTGAGTGACACCTCTGTCTGATTAAGCGTTAACAACGCACCCAGGCCAATTCCTGTCACTGTCACCTGCTGTTGACTGTGACATGTCCGCCTGAGTGTGTGACACCTCTGTCTGATTAAGCGTTAACAACGCACCCAGGCCAATTCCTGTCACTGTCACCTGCTGTTGACTGTGACATGTCCGCCTGAGCTGAGTGACACCTCTGTCTGATTAAGCGTTAACAACGCACCCAGGCCAACTCCTGTCACTGTCACCTGCTGTTGACTGTGACATGTCCGCCTGAGTGTGTGACAAAATAGACACCCAACTTC